GTAGTGGTCAATGGGACAGAGTCCAGTTGGAGGCCTGTACCCAGTGGAGTCCCTCAAGGGTCGGTACTGAGACCTGTATTGTTCAACATATTCATCGATGACTTGGATGAGGGAATCGAGTGCATGGTCAGCAAGTTTACTGATGACATTAAACTGGGAGGAGTGGCTGACACACCAGAAGGCTGTGCTGCCATTCAGAGAGACCTGGACAGGCTGGAGAATTGGTCGGGGAGAAATTTAAAGAAATACAACAAGGGCAAGTGTAGAGTCTTGCATTTGGGTAAGAACAACCCCATGTGGCAGTACAAGTTGGGGACTGAACTGTCGGGGAACAGCATCGGCGAAAGGGACCTGGGAGTCCTGATGGACAGCAGGATGACCATGAGCCAGCAACGTGCCCTTGTGGCCAAGAAGGCCAATGGCATCCTGGGGTGTATTAGAAGGGGTGTGGTTAGTAGGTTGAGAGAGGTTCTCCTCCTCCTCTACTCTGCCCTGGTGATGCCGCATCTGGAATATTGTGTCCAGTTCTGGGCCCCTCAGTTCAAGAAGGACAAGGAACTGCTTGAGAGAGTCCAGCGCAGGGCCACAAAGATGATTAAGGGCGTGGAGCATCTCCCTTATGAGGACAGGCTGAGGGAGCTGGGTCTCTTTAGCCTGGAGAAGAGGAGACTGAGGGGGGACCTCATTAATGTTTATAAATATGTAAAGGGTGACTGTCATGAGGATGGAGCCAGGCTCTTCTCACTGGCGTCCAACGATAGGACAAGGGGAAATGGATATAAGCTGGAACATAGGAGGTTCTGCTTAAACATGAGGAAGAACTTCTTCACAGTAAGGGTAAGAGAAGACTGGAACAGGCTGCCCAGAGAGGTTGTGGAGCCTCCTTCTCTGGAGATGTTCAAAACCCACCTGGACGCATTCTTGTGTGATCTAATCTAGGTGGTCCTGCTCAGGCAGGGGGATTGGACTAGATGATCCTTTGAGGTCCCTTCCAGTCCCTAACATTCTGTGATTCTGTGATGTCTGGCTTAAAAATTCTTCCTGGATAGTGAAGACCACCTGCTTACAATATGCACAACATTTTATCTGAACTCTGCTTCTCCAAGGTTTTTTTTTGTTTTGTTTTGTTTTTGTTTTTTGTTTTTTTTTTCCTTCAAAGAAACCTTAGCAGTTTCTTGCAAAGCTCACTTTACCCATTGCTTCTTCTAAAGCAGCAAGCCCTACCAGACTTTGTGGCTACTGTCCAGATGACAAGCTGAAATACATGAAATGGGGACACCCAATGTCTCTGCCGGGTGGTGCTGTTGGAAGTGCACAGAATTCAAGGGGATGTCTACCGGAAGCAGAGGAGACCACAAAAAAGGCTCATTCTTCACACTAACACTTTACTTGCTTTTCTACTTATACTCACAGCTGGCTATTTTCCATAATTATACATGCAGGCTACCAGGTGCTAGGTCTTTTAAGGCCTCTGCATTCCACTGCCCCACTGTGCAGGTCCACCATGCCCTGCAGCCCAAAAGCTAACAACTCCAAGAAACAGTCTGAGAGAGAAGCTCAAATAAAAGGAGCCTGAGGGGAAAAGCATCTCTTTCTATCTCTATCAGTGATCTGAGACCCATTACAATCACTTGTCACAGCCTCCCTGAGGATTATGAAACCTGTCTGCATTGTTGCCAACATCCTCCTGCTTGGAAGCACCGTGTTCCCACTTGCCACAGAGTGTTGAGATCACCCAGGACTTGCTTTTGGTCAGAATCTAGTCACTGCAGCCAAGGTTTTCTTCCTGCTGGGCAGGCTACCCTCAAACATGCCTCAACTGATCCGTCCCGTAGCCAAGCCATAAGCTGATCTGCTATGAGTCTCACCTGCTTTCTCAGTTTTATTTCTGCCTTACGCCACCTCCAAAACACTTGCTCAGAACACACGTCAGATTTTGGGGGTGACGTGGAGTTGTTGGGACGCAATTATCATTATGCAATGTATTACACCTAACTGGACACAGCATATAAAAAGAGACATCTTGATAGTGACGCAAGGGAAGTGGTTCTGACAAAGAGCAAACAAGGTGAATTTAGCTAATTGGAACAGCATTTGTTCTGTCAGGACACGATACAGATGGCAAGCCAGTGAGAGACATTTGGCCGGGCACCGTTAGTGTTATTGCCACTAATTTCTTGGACTGGCAATGAAAAGAAAAAATATTCTATAAAATACTCAAAGGAAGGTAGGTATAGAACATAACATTTAATACTAGGTTTGGATAAGCAGCTCTATCTCAAGTCTTCTGAACTGTAGTCCCTGTTGTTGTTATTTTCTTTGATTCCAGCGTTTGTTAGGATTGGTTCCTTAACTTTTAGCTTATTCTCCAGGCTCTGTCAGGATTGGAGAGCTTTCAGCTGTGTCTGTGCATCCTGCACTCTATCAATCTTTTCAAAAACATAAGCACCACTAGACAAGTTCCTGCGCTGACAGTTTAGTTGCAGCCCGTGCAGCAGACACAGAGGTAACAACGCAGCACATGAAACCAGCGGCAGGACCAAAGATGATGGTGCTCTGTTTCGGAGCTTACAGTAATTGTCACCAACTGAATCCATCTGCCACAGCACAGTTTCAGGCCACAACTCCTTCCTAAAATTCAGCTTCGGCATGGTGTCTGGTACAGTATTTGGATACTCTTAACCGCAGGTCAATGAAATTATTTACACTGGTAGGAAGGGATAGAAGGACATCTCTCAGAGTTCAGTTCCACTGCAGTTCCTGTTTCCCATGAAGCATGTGCTTAGTGAAACTTTGCCTAGATTAACACACAGCTTTTCTAGACACCATAATCTGCAACTGGGAATGACGATCAAGTATGTCACTGAATGAATTTTTCAAAAAAGTTCAGCAGTTCTGCAGAAACTAAAGGGTTAGTCGAGTTTTCTAAAGTGTTTGTTTATATACTATATACTGATCACAATCCAGCACTGTTTCAAGCATACACCAGAGTATGACAGTGTGTAACTGTCCAGCAGAACACACCTAACCTGTATCTCACCAAAACGAAATAAGCACTAATTATTTTTTTTTCCTCTATCTATTTAGAAAGAGATGAAAAGATATTTTTTCCCTTACACACGTATTTGAACAGGAAGATCAGGGTGAACTTTCAAATCACTTGCTCAGCTACCACCATACCATTAAGACCTAAAAGGAAGGACAGTCCTCGCTAGTTTTATTTTGACTCATGTTTAATTCTCAGAAGCATATATTACATGGCTCATGGAGAAAAAGCATTAGAGCACAGAGCTTATTTTTTATCTGATTGGGGATTTTTATTGCTTTTTTGTCTTCCAAACTTTCATAATGTACTTTTTAAACATGTATCATTCATCCAGGATTTTAAATGTACACAGAACATGCACAGCACTATGATTCTGACATATAATTATTCTTAAGGACATTAGCAGAGACTTTTATACTCTTTCCTCCTTGGAACACATTTATCTTTCTCAGAATGACTGCTTCTACACAAACAGCTTTCAGAGATGAATTTTAAAAGAATTTGTCTAAAAGCCCTGACATTTTTTTCTTATACTAAATAAATGTGATAGCTACAACTTCCTGCTTGCCTCTGCTTTGTTTTCTTCGTCTACTATTAAGAGAAGAGCTAAGTGACAAACGTCAGCAACGCTTCTTCAGTTATTGATACTGAATTTGTGTTGAGATTTTGTCTTGTACAGTTCTGTAAATGTTGATGCCTTGAGGACAGAGCAAAACCAATCCTTTATCTTAGCTCTACATGCTTAAAGGTTCAACTGCCACAATCTGATTATTTCCTGAGTGAAAAGTATGGCCAATACTCTATTACCTCTCCAACACAAAAAATTCAACACAGGGAGATTTTCAATTTGAGTACCATCAGATACACGGGTAAGTTTAATACAAACTGTTTTCCCTTTGTAGTAAAGTAAAACAGGAAGCATGTCCTTTTCTGATAGAGTCATCAAATAACTCAGAGTGGAAGTGACCTCTGGAGGCCATCTGTTCCAATGTCCTTCTCAAAGCAGGACTCACTTGAAAGGTTTTCAGGGGCTTGTTCAACTGAGTTTTAAAAATTCCCAAGGGCAGATTTTACCACCTCTCTGGGCTACCTGATCTACTCAGAGCTTTCTCACTCTTCCTGTAACACTTTCTCCTTATATCCATCCAGAATTTTCCTCGCTGCAACTTTTTCATCTGGTCCTATTGCTGTGATCCTCTGAGCTGGGCTCCATCCTCTGCATAACTCCCCTTTGGGTAGCTGCAAACAGCAATTAATTAGACAATTAGACTTCTCTGGTTTTGAGTCTGTAGCATGGCCTGAGTGTACAGTCACAGCTTCAAAACGCATCAAGCAGGATACAACTGGAAAATAAATGAGTAAATGGCAGTATTTATTTCTGAACCTCTCTGATCTCTGTTCTGCCTACCCCACTCATCAGTTATGCATACCCTATTAATGTCTGTCCTTTTGTCCCTGAAAGCCGTACAGATTTCTCTCTACTCCATTCCCTACAGCACGTTACACCTGAAAGCTGCACTACATTGAATCAATCGTAACAAAAGTCAAGCCCCATATATTAGTTCTTTCCTGCCTCATCTCAGCTACTACCTATCTACACATCTAATTTAAACATGATGTCAGTTATCCTATACTTCATGAAGTTCCTTAATACTGATTCGACCATATGAAGAGCCCAAAGGCATCATCCAAGGGATTATCTTGTATCACCCTGGCACTCCCAAGGAACTCGCAGAATGCACCACACTAACATACTGAGTAAGCTTACAGTGATCAGCTCCCACTTGGCTTCGGACCAAACATTGTCACGTGGAAGTTTACTATCTCATTCTCAGAACAAAGGCAGCACACTTGAGTCTCAAATTGAAAGAAGATTAAGTGTAAGCAGGAGATAAATAAATTCAAAGCAACTTCATTTGGGTACAAGGGAATTTAATGACTGGCAGCTCCTTCGAAGTGTGCAAACAATTTTAATTATTTCCTGTTAAGCCTGACAAAACCCTTTCCACTTGGGCAGGCTTCATTCTCCCATCATCACACACACCAAAACACATGATGATCACGTTCTTTGGAGAAGAAAAAAAGAACAAGAAACCCCTTACTTTTGACTTGTTGTTCAGGTGCTTTGATGTGTGTCACCATCCCTGGCATGTTTACGCTGTTCCTGTGCAGGTATTTCAGGAAGACATCAGCATTCCTCCGAGCCAGCGTGCAAGCCTAGGGAGTTAGGGGTATTACTTTCTTTGAAGATGCACACATATACATCCAGAAAGAGATGAAGAACTTCACTCACGCTCCTGCGCATTTCCCACCCTCACCAATTTTAGAAAGCGTTGTTTGTTAAATTCTTCTACAAGTAAGCCAACCCAAGCACTAAAATAGTTTTCCTAACAATTAACAGTTAATCCTTATTTATCCGGCAGGAAAAAAACCCCAAACAAAATGGTATTGCTTTTTATCTGAAGATCCTGAAAAGCAATTATCTGCTCTAGAGCTTTCGGCATGACTCAGAACTCACAGAGAAGTTTGTTTTGTGTACATGCCATGTGCCGCTTTAGTTATTTATTGCATAAACAGAGTGCACATGCTTATGTAAACACCTGGATATTCCAAAATACCACCACTACTTTAAACGAAAAGCAAACGCTCTGCTGAAGTGAAACCAAAAGTGCTAAAATATTAAGACATGCCCTTAAAACATTACGATAAGGCCTTGAGAACTTTCAGTCCTCGACGCTGTATGGCCAAGACTCAGCTCAGCTGCCTTCTTCATCTTAATGTACACCATGTACTACATAGGGGCTGGCTGCCTTATTTTTAATCAGCAGAACATAAAATGCTACTTTTAAGAGGTTAGCTAAAGGCAGTATGGCTAGATCCAGTAACAGAGACACTAAGTTATTTCTCAAATTGTTTTAACCAAAAGACCGGAAACTCACATGCCAGCTGTAGAAAGATCTATGTGACAGTATACTTACAGCTACCCTAATACGTTTTTGAACGTTCTCATCTTTGCACTGAGAACAAAAAGGCTTTCAACAAAATTACATTTTATACTCCAACATCTTTCAAGGTGATGCTGGAAAAAGCCTTTGGTGACAGAGTTAGTTACCCTGCTTTGCAAGCATCTGTTACACATTTATTCAGCATGATCAATATCCCTCTTCACTAGGACAGTAGTTGGAACAAAAACTTATCATTTATCTGAAGGTTATTACACAAACCCAACTACTCTTAGATGCTTGTCAAGCAACTTCCTCTTTCTGTACTCTGCTGTAGTCCAAGCACATTTAAGAGTTGCTCTGATGCACAGGCAGCAATGGCACTATGTGAGTGTCACTTCTCTCCCAAGGAAGCAGCCCTTCGATTGTCCCAGCTCCTCTTCAGTCACAGTGGGAGACCTGACATCTACTGAAGTTCACCAGGAAATATATTTATAAAACTAGCTACAATTTTATGCACTTGGCAGTATTCTCAATCACTGCCAGAAGCAGTTAACGTGCTGCTTCCCACATCTTTGCAGTATGGGACATACCTACAGCTTTTGAATGGGCACTGTTGCTTTCCATACACATTTCAGCACTGTTAAGAGTAAGCGTTTGACTGCATGCTTTCCAAGACAAAAACAACCACCAAAAAATGGCAAACATTACCTTTAGGAATGCCTCCTTCTGTTCCAGGTGTTTGCTTATCATGGGAGTTACATGATCTGTTTCAGAGTTGGGACCTAGTTTGTCTGCTCCCCCACACCAGTCTTCTTCTCGCTTATATTCTTGCTCCAGGCTTTCTAGCACACTGCACACCTATCAGGAAAATGGAGTCCAACTTGAATATAATTCAGAAAGACAAAAATTGAAAACAAAAAAAGAATTGAAAAATTCATTGCTTACACGAATTGCTCAGAAGGCTGTCCCTAAAGTTGCTCATCTTTCTCTACCTCTGACTGCACAGTTCAGGATGGGCAGAGGAAGTAACTTTGCCAACCTTTCCCCTAACTGTTCTGAGGACAAGTAGGATGAAGGTGATTTTTCTCCAACTCCCACACAAAACCCAGAATTAGCCATCTGAAGTAGTTCAATTAAAACCTCTGTGTAACTTGTTTATGGTTTAAGCAAAACTTCTTGAAATAAGCCGAAATCCAACTAAGCACTTTTACAGTGTGTTTCATCTTGAAAATGTTTTACAAGGCTTTTCCAAATTAAAAATAAGAATCTGAGGAATATTAAAGTGGAGAGCAATAGAAGAGGCAGATGAAGATTTCAGTTTTCACTAATAAACACTGCACTTTGGTAATATACCTTTCTTTGAAGTTTGTTCATTGAAGCAAGTGTAGCCAGACACTGCAGCCTCTTAGCAGTTTGTACAATTTATCTACTATTCACTTATAATAGAAGGGTTTGAGTTGGAAAGGACCTTAAAGATCATCAATAGTCCCCCCCTCTGCCAGGGCCAGGAACATCTTTCACTAGATCAGGTTGCTCAAAGCCTCGTCCAACCTGACTTGCAGTACCTCCAGCGATGAGGCGTCCACAACTTCTTTGGGCAACCTGTTCCAGTGTCTCACCAGCCTCATCATAAAAAATTTCTTCCTTACATCCAATCTAAATCTACCCTTAAAGCCATTGCCCCTTGTCCTGTCACTACAGGCCTTGGTAAAAAGTCATTGTCCTGTAAGACCCCTTTATATATTGAAAGGCTGCAACACATATTTCTTTTTCTAAGACAGCTTGCAAGAGGATTTGTTTTTGCTTTTTTTGTATAACTGCAGTTGTTAGCAAATTAGTAAATACAACCAAACCTAGTCTCAACCATTTTTTTAGGTAATGCCGTTTTGCGCCACATTGAAGAATTAACTAAGACAGACACGTATCATGTAGCATTTCTGTACCTGTTCAGAAGTTTTATAGAAGGCAACAGAGGCATTCACAAGCTTGAGACGGTCCTCCATCTTTAGCATCAGTTGCTGCCAATGGGAAGCAACCTTCTCCGCACACTCCCGGATCATGTCCATGTCATAGTGATTAGCCTGCAGCATTGCCTCTGCCTTCTAACTTTGATGCGTTTTCTGACAAGAGGTGAAAATTCAGAAGTTCAGTGGAGCACTTCAGTTCATTTTCTTGAAGACCTCAAAGGCTCACATTTCCACTGTGTCAATGACTCTTCTATACACACGCACAAACACCCATCAACTAAAAATAACCATCTAAAATTAGTCACTGCATGACTTTGCTAGGCAAACACAAAGGAAATAAATCTTGTAGAGATTTATCATCAAACGAACAACGATGAGCAGTTTGTAAGCAATAGCCACTGTCTGGCATTAAGCCACACGTGGCATATCTATGTAGTCGTATGCTTTGTTGTAATTATGAATTTAAGGTTGATTTTCTTTCCCTTCATGGTAAGAAAAAAGAAGATGGAAAGGATGTATCTTATTTTCACTTGATTGCTATTACTGTCCTCACAGCTTTACTGCAGTCTTTTGCACATCAGTAGTGAGCAAATGAAGGTGCCAGCATGCAGAAACTCTCCATTAATTGCAAGCAAATTTTTAACTCTAGCTCTCTGTGTAAACATGTACTTGCCTAAAATCTGGAACCTCTAACAACAATAAGTATTATTATATCTGAGTACAGAATGACCCAGAAAACACAGAATTTAAGGTTCCTATTCATTTATTCTTAAATTGACAAATACTTAGAGGTGTCATGATTTTTACACTTAAAGAGTTACCAAAGCTCTCAAAATGAGGGTATATATAGTGCAAACTGTAAAAAGGAAAAAAAAAGAAAAAAAAAGAGAGTAAGCATAAAACTCCACTGAATAGCAAACGGACATTAAAGAGTTACTGCAAGACATAGTACTTCCGAAAACAGTTTTCCCAAAAAATCGCAACATTGGTTAATCTTTCAACAAAAGTAAAGTTCTTAAAAAGCATAAGCTACATATAATCAGCATCACTGTAAGTCCCTCAATTGTGCATACAAACTAATAATACTGCATTTTAGTCAATCTTAAGATCTCCGTCTATTTTTTGCAGAGACATGGCCAATCTGATAAGTTTAGTTTGAAGTCATGACATGGACATAGCACCACAAATTTCAGTGAAACTTACTGTCAAGCAAAAATGGAAACATTAAAGGACCATATCAGAATACCAAAACTGATGTTTGCTGTTCCATTTATTCTTAACTTTAATAATTATCATTATATGTTGTATTCTAACAAAGGGAAACACAACTTTCAGTAAAATTGCTGTGAACAGCTATCACTTTATGAAGATGCAAAAAGGTACTGAGAAGATGTGTTCACTAGGAATTGCAGCTCCAAAGTGAACAAGAATAAAAACTTACCTTCCCAGTAGGTATTTTTATCTCTCCCCCATAAGATGATATCAAGGGCTTTTCCTAAACTAAACATACCACAGCATGAACTCAACAGTGCTATCTACAGAGACCTATGAACTGTAATACAGGACTTCTTGGCTATGGTCACTGAAATGGTGCTTTTACCTCTATTGCATGTTGGAACTGCTCATGCTCCCTCTGTAATTGTTCTGCCTCCTGCAAAGAGCTAGCAGTGATAAGCCCAGCATTTAACATCGACTCTCCATTTCGGATCCAGCCCAAAACCTGTAACAAGAGAGAAGATCATGAAATATGAAATAAGCATTCCTCTGCCAACCAGTAAGAAAGGCATCATTGGTAGGGTCAAAAACATTTAGGGTCACATGTGGTATTGGAATTGATGACTAAACACATTAATTACAAATTCACAGTGAATTATATCTTCAATAAACACAGTGAATGACATTCACTATAATTTCACTTAGCTGACAACTCATAGATATCTTTCAATCAGCTACTACATGCTTGTGGTTTCAGTTTATACTCTGAATAAGATTGTGTTTCTGAATACAATTTCTGTCACCTGGAAAAAGGAACAAGTTACAAGCAATATTTGCCTAAGAGCCAGTGTCAGTAAGGTAAATTGAGGATGCGCAGCGTAGTAAAAAGTAAGCAGATAATTTTGAATATTAATGTTGAGAAGAATGCAACCATTGAGTGTCTTCTAATTGCTTAAAGGTTTTCAGTTTTCAGAATGTGCCTTCTTTGACACATCCACTGCAAACAGAAGAATCCCCGGGTGGGGAGAAGCCTCAAGAGGTCACCTAGTGCGTTCCTTACCAACAGCAGGAACGTGCAACCTTAAGGCCCCTCCCAAAAGATCTGTGCCTTGTTCGTTACTCAAGACTCCAATCTCACACTTTCACCAGGCATTTTTATCACCATAAGTCTTCCTTGTAATGTCTAACGCTCAAACCTCTCTTGCTTTAATTTTGGCTTGTTTCGTTTCTCCTGTTCACAACAGGGGGGAAAAAAAAAAAGAAGACATTTTCTCCCTCTTAGCATCAGCTTTGTTCTTCCTTCTCCTCTCTCCATCAAGAACATCACCTGAACCCCTCTTTTAGATTCCTCTTCTCTTGCTGACCACAGTCTCTTCCATCTCTCCCATGTGAAGTTAGCCACCTTATTTTTCTCACTGCTTCTTTACAAGCTCTCTCCAGTTGATAACCATAACTTTGGTCAAAATCTTTCAAATACTGAGTAAAGCCAGACAGAATTCAGGTTATCCACTGTCATCCATACAACTTTTCTTCGGAACTGCTGCCCAGCCACTAACTACCCCTGTGCTGTATGTGTTCAGCTGATTATTCCTGCCAGTACATCACGCCTTGTATTTGTCGCTAATAAAATTCATATCTTTCTTGCAGCGCAATTCTCCCACACATCAAGATAATTCTGAAGTGTAATCCAGTTCTGGTGAACTCAAATCCCTTTTCCAGCTTCTTTTGCCTTTATCTTAAAAGCATAATCTCTACTCTAACATGTAGATTTTCTGACTGAAAACATGAACTAGTATCCAAACACAGACTTCTACAGATTTTTTTTTTTTTTTTTTAAGTTTTGAAATCTGCTTTCCAATCCAGCAAGACTCTTAACAACTTTTGTTACTGAGTAAGGTTTTCCAGCAAGTTATCATTCATGGCAATGTAGTCTCACGCGACATCCTCATAGTAAGCTAGGGCCAGATACACTGAACTAAGCTATTTTAAAATAGCTTAAATAGAAGCTATTTTTAATAGCTTAATAGAAGGAAGATCTATGTCATCTGCTTTTTCACTTCTACCCAGAAGACCTGTTACCTTGTCAGGAATAAACAGGATTTATCAATGAGAAGCTATGTGTAATTAATCTATGTTAGTCTTTTCTCCTCTCCTCGTAACTGTTCAGGTTTAAAAATCTACTTGTTTCAATATTTTTCCTTGGAATTATGCTAAACTTGTTGACCTATATTCCTCCCTTCGCTAATCCTTTCCCACTTTTGAGAAGTAGATGTTGAGTTCCAGGCCTCCAGAATCTCATCCACTCTCCAAAAGTTTGGAGAAGATAAGCATTAATGTCTATGACATTATTTCAGGTAGTTTTCTAGGTATTGTAGGATGAATTCCTTTGGGCCCAGTTGATTTGAAAATAAACAGTTTAAGCATACATTCTCTAATCTTTTCCTACTAATTGATTTTAGACCTTTAACCACTGGTAATAAATATATTAACTACCAAATCACAGTTAGCTCTTAAAACACTAAATACTCTCATCTAGTGATCCACATGGCACTACTATTAATGCTACTGCACCAAGTTATTACTAAGTGAATCAGGATGACATGACCACAGTCATAGACTGAAAACACCAGCAGAAATCAAGAAAAGGATCTACTAAAACATAAATCCTTAAAAACAATAGGTACATGTGGTCTACGTCCAAAATATACTATGTCTTTAATAGCTTGAAGCAACTGAGGTGCAGCCATCTTGACACAACACCCATTCCTTCAAATCTGCATCACAATCTCACACTCTGTCTAAAACTTATCCAGACTGCAATATTGTTGTATCAGTAATGTAGTTTTTCAGACTTCTGCCTGCACAACGAACAGCTAACAGGTTGGTGGTTCTTTTTTTCCCACTGACAGCTATGTATTTGAATTCTTCTATCTAAGTTGTGCAAGTCTGTAGAAAAAAAGTCTGCAGTATGGACGTAGGGCAACAGCACCTCCCAGACATGTACCTGGCTGCACATTCTGCTCCTCTGAGGAGTAAGCGCTGGGTCAGGTGGAGCCTTGTGAGGAGGGGGAACATGGCTCTGGCTTTGAAACAACTCTCCTGCAAGGAGACGCTTCCAGATAACAGCATGCAGGCATGTGAAAGGGAACATGAAAAGAGCTGGGAGTTTCTCATCTGTTAAGATACCTGGGGGTTGTTAATACTCAAGGGATCAAGCCCAGGTAAGCCTCAGGAGCAAGAAAAAGGGCAACTTCCAAGGCAACCAGATGGGTCCAAGAGACACTAGACAGAAACTGCGCTTGGAAGAAAGAACTTGTAAGAACACGGGGCACGGAAGATTTTTAAAAGTCTCTGGTTTTATTTCTACTTTGTCTTGCAAAAGCGGTTCTAAGCTCCCTCTCTACCTTACAAAACAATTCTTCCAGGTATAGTGTAACAAAACACATCTTCTCAGGGTTAAAATACATTTAGCCTTCTCCAGAGAATTTATAATGAAGAATGCTTAAGCAGAACCAATTCAAAGTTCCTCTTGACTTGGCATCCCATCATACAGAGCAGAGACAGCTAGCACAGAACTTGCCATCTCATACACACTGATTTGCCCTCCTGCTTGTTGCAGGTCAGGGTGCAAGTGCAGAAGCTGGTGGAACTCATAGGAGGAAAGTTGCCGACAGCACTTTCTCTTTCCCGCTGCTCTGACTCAAGGGGAAAACATAAAAGCTAGTAAATAGTGAGCCTGTTGTTCTTCCAGAGCTGCTGCCTTCCAGTGTTTGTTGGCGTGTTCCCATCACCTTACAGTTTGGGTGGACCACATATCTCATCTTTCCACTCCCAGTCTTCATCAAGCTAGAAAAGCATCAGCAGAGAAACAGCAAAACTGTGGAAATGAAACTGAAAGTCTGGGACACTTGAAAGGGTCAGGCAGGTAGTTCTACAGATAAATACTTGATTTAAGATTAGTTTCTTGGACTGATTTTTCACTCTAACTAAACACGATCACAAGTGTTTAGTTTCAGCCTGCTGTCCTAGCTACGTTTTCATATCCATATGGCACTATACAGAGTGCCAGGATACTCTTCCGGAGTAGTATTTTGGGACAATCAGAGCTCAAGCATTGGACTGTGTTTGAACGAAGCTAAGAGATCTGCACGTGAGAACACAAGGTTGCTCAAGGTATTCTTGAGGGTACAACCTTGTACTTGGCACAAGTATCCGTACACTGTTGTACTGATATGAATATACAGGTACACATCCAAGAACATACACCATGACCAGAGCAGCAGACAATACTGCACTAAAAAGGCTTTACAAGCATAATAAAACCACTGCATTTTGGAGCTTGGTAGAGATTTTGACTCAGACAGATGCTGCATGTTAAGTAAAGCAAAGCATTCATTCTACAATGTGAGTTACGTGGGAGCGACTGCAGCGATAAGCAATCCAGCAGCTATATCTTAAATGATTAAAAAGTTTGTCTGGCAAACATGTAAGTGGAATTTTGGATGAGACAGATATCTCTTAACTATTTCTCTGCCTCTACCTGCTCATATGTCCCTGCCCTGAATAAAATAGTCAAATTTTCCTTTCCATGTTTTTTTTTCCCCCACATACATCTATCCGTTCTTATTTCAGTGAGCATCCTCTTCCCTCTATCTGCTGAGGTCTTCCTACACTGCAATCTCCTATCTGGTTTGCCCTTTCTGCACCTATTACACATCAAGTTGACAAGTAAATTCTTTGCAGGTTTTCTTTAAACCTCTGTCTTCTGACTCTTCTGCTAAGTCCTGAGGCTTGATCTGCAGAACTTCAATGCCACAAAGCAGAACTGATACAGTAGTTAAGGGAGAAGCAACACTGGATGTTTTCATCTGCTTTCTGTGCTTATTTGATAAGAATTCACTAAACTTGAAGTTTTACTACCTAGTACTGAAAAGATTTCTTGCAAGTATTTGACTAAAAAACTACGCCAGGAGACAGTTTGCTGGTCTCCATTACAGTAATCTGAGAGATGAACCCTATGGGAAAACTCCCACAGTGTTCCAGTCTAACCTTTTCACACGACTACAAGCTATGTATTTTTTATATATAAAAATACAATAGCAGTAATGTCAGTTTAGCAGGAAAAATTCAAATGGATATCGTGTTAAAATCTTTGCTATGAAGACAGTATCCCATCTACGTAACAAGTATGCTGACACTCAGTTCATCAACAATAAATCTGGCAGAAAATCACAGTAACTGAACTGCAAAACCATGTGTTCACTGCTCCAGGCAACAAAATACAAACAACAGAGACTGAAGAGGAGGTTCGCTGTGTCATTTTACTCTCAGGTAAAGCACCTGCCGTGACTTGCAGAGCTATGAGGTTTTTCCCCAGAGGAAACATGCTTCCTGATATTTAGCAAAAGCTAAAATCAATCAGATGTGGTTTTCTGAAAAGCCAACTGAAATCACAAAACTAAAAGTTACTAGCTC